GCCCATCGCTTTGATAATAATGGTTGGTGCGTTTCATAACGTGAGACTGTTTATTATTGTTATTTGGTCAATTGTTAGATTTTATAGAATCGAAGCATGTTGGACTTTGAAGAGCTCAAAACAATGTTTGATTTGGAAGCAAAAATATACTGAACCTACGTAAGTGCTGGCGCGTGTGGCACAACGTTTGGAGGCGCCTTACAAAACATACGTGGTCGATCCTTGCGCCCATGGCCCGCCAAGCCTTCCATCTTTCCAGGATCAGCAAATTGGTACAAGACTTGCTTGGGAGAAGAGCAGCACTGGCTCGATACATCAGTAGGCCACCGTGAGTCATTGTAAAAGCCTGATATGCATTCAGTCACCTCCAAACGACACTTAGTGAAATTTAATGCGTGGCGCATTCCACAGGTATTGATCAACGCAGAGAGGTTTATCCTTTACCCTTTATACCCTAAGTGCTTTGTGTGACTAATTTTTCAGATTAGAGAGTTTCGTTCGATTAACGAGAGCACGAAACTGCTCATGAAAAACGTGGGGAGTTAAACTACCCCGTGCCATCTTGTTTTCTAAAGAACTAATATTTATTTAAATACTTTTTCGCAATACTTGTTTTCATACAATATTCATATCAACGACTATACAAGCATTATTTTATCATTATCATGATCATCATCATCATCATTATCGCTATCATACATCTGTCAACAGCAAAATAGGATGTCGCAACAATAGTAACACCAGCTGGAAATATACAGGTAGAGTTGCACGACTCGTAGGATATTAATCATGACGTGAATTGTGTTCAATTCAAACTCAAAAACGAAGAAAACTCGTCGACCTTGTAACACTTTCCGAGAAAACACTGGTTTCTTTGCCGTACTTCTTCTTATGGCAAAGCAAATGCACAAACTGCAGCCACACGTTGAGGTTTAATGACGTTAACCCTGTCATTGACACCCAATCATTTTTGTAAACATTTTTATGGACATAATTATTAATGTACAAAAGGAGTTGAGAAAATAGATCTAATGTGAATGGAAAAAACAACGAGTGTACCGTAATTGTAACGATCTTAGCCCACAATCAAATGAAATACATTGTGTTGATTGAAATGACTAGGGTAACCCAGTAGTCTCAAAAAACTCGTAAGATCAGAAAACTACTGTTTGCCTCTTTACAATTTTGTCAAATTACATGCTTTAACTCTTTCACAATCATGCGCCTGATTTCAGGATATGCTCTGCTGCGCTTTTCGGACCCTACATCTCAATTTCAGCGCGGTGCCCAAAAGCGGTCCAATGACATGCCGTAGGGACAGAGTACCCACGCGAAAATGGGCGTGTCGTGAAAGCGTTGGACCTTTCGTATTGTAACAACTAATTGCTTGTCAAACACAGATTTGTTACTGTGGCTGGCCTATGGATAGATAGCTCCACTTGGGAACAGCCATTATGACGGCAGGACCCATCAGAATAACAAATATATAGTGGAAACAAATTCTTTAACAAAAAGCAGTTAACCTTAGAGTAGTTACTCTGGTTCTTTCTTCAACCGGCGTAAACCATTTTCCACAACCCACCTCACAGCTAAACGTGAGTGTTTAAGAAGCAGATAATCCCGATCGTTTCCTATATCCTATACATCCAAAAATCTGTTCCTTTCCCAAGCAAAATTTTCTTGAAGCCTTTCGTAGCCTTTCATTTACCAGTTTGTAAGACTATGAACAAATAGATTTAAAAGACCTAGTTCACAATTACATAGTAGAATCAAGGGGACTTTTAAATAAATAAGGAAGTGAACACAGCGACGCTTAAATATTTGCAAAACTCGGAGCCCAAACCAGTTTCGAACGCGCAATTATACTTTCCAGCGTCCCACGTGCTACCCACTGCGCTACCATGGCCCTTGCTTTCTCCTTTCCTTAAGCAGTTTAGTAAGAAATAATTTAGCCATTTATGTTAGATAATAGCATAAAAGATTAAAGAAGCAAGGAATCAAGTAACTATTCAGAAAGATTCTTTGACAGCGAAAACAACTGATGTACCGATAACATCCTCGTTAAAAGGTTGTAGCGAACCAGAATTAAGAAGCGGTAGAAAGCAAACCTATAGTTTTGTTTAATACCTTCGTAGTCTTTCACATACTTGAATGGGTTTTATTTTGAAAAGCGCTGATCGACCTTTTCTAAGAAGGTGAAAAAAAAGTTTTTACATGGAAACTCACTGCACTCGTTTACTGGCGTTTCTTCCTCTGCGCAGCAGATAAAGTAGACGTTGTCGAAATTCCTTGTTCAACGTTATGTAGACGAACAAATTAATACCAGCATTCAATGTTTGTAGCCATTCGGATGGTTTCGAAACGCTCATGAGTACCTCCGACAAAGAAAACTTTTTATTTTCTGTTTTTATACAAAATATTTGCCACGGTTACGATGTGTTTTATCGGTTCAGTGATGCAATCCAATAATTGTGAACTCATGATGAGCATTGCCCATTCCAGAAAAATCTTTTAAAAAAAGATTTGCAACTAAGGAATTTTTTCCACTACTGAACGTAGATATTTGATTCCCTGTCGAACTTGTCTGGGAAAAAATCACTTTCCGCAATCAAGTTGGAAACGCTCCAGCCCGGCTATGTCAGGATTCCAAGGAGAATTGCTCGACCAGCATTCCACGACATTCAAGATAAATTGAAAATCCTCAACAATCAACCGAAGCTATACGTAAAAACTTGGAAGGCCTTCGAGGAAAATGGAAGCGCGGGAACGAAACGAATGTGAGAAGTGCTGGGATCGTACAGTATACGCGAAGACGGGTCAAATGAAATAAAACAAAATAAACAAAAGGTCTATTAAGTAGACACAAATAAATTTGCAGTTATTAGCAGCACTCTGCAACGAATGGAGTCTTAAAAAACCAAAAAGCTTTTGTGAACGAATCAATTTCTCAAGCTGCGCTCACTTGTTCTCCACATAGCTCTTTGAAAGTCCTTAGGATCAGTGTAAAACAGCGTAAATTGAAGTCAGATTGATTCCGCAAGCAAAAGTTAACAGTTTCTTTTTCTAGGACGAATATTTTTTCTGTAGACCAGCAGCTTATATCCGTTCCTGTTTAAAATTTTGTAGAATTCCATAAAATCCGTAGCCATGATTTTTCCAAAATCAATAGGCTACTTTTTTCAGAACTGTTTCTGTAGAGGAGCACATCACTAATATAGAGAGAAGGAAAAAAATAAATATTGCATAACTATAACTTTTAGATAAACAAAACAAAAGACCTTACCTTTCCTACGTAAACTTTGTAGAGTGATTTGAAATTCGGCACTGAAACGAGTACAGCAGAAAGTACAGAAATAAGCAGGTAATACCGAATTGTATCCACATGATGTTGCGCTTGGCATCTGTAAAGTATAGATGAGATCAGCAGCAACATTTTCAACGCGTTCTTTAAAAATGATGTTGTTATTTGCACATGACATTGTCGATGAAGGATTTTAATATTGGAAACAAGTGTAGCAAAGTTGTTAAGAGGTCCCGTTGCGAGCGCATGAGCTTTGGTTTGATTCCTACCTCCGGACAGTTAAAGCCCACATCCCTTGATCATTAAACAATGCTACGAATAGACTCCAATGCATGGAGTGCATGATCGCATGCTATAAGGACTGATAAACGCTGAACCCATTATCGCTTTATCTACAATAACATACACTAAAACAACAGGTGCTCTAAAGAAAGCCGACAGAAATAAAACGGAACATGTGAGCGGTGGAATTCATGTGCAACGTTGGCGAAACGTTCGTTTAGTGTACCAGTCTGACACGTTTAATACTTTATTAATCCTCGAAATTAACTCATAAATGGAGGTTCATTTCAGCCTTTTTTTGCAACAAATGTGTTTCCACGGTTTGTTGTGTATAAGTGCTTAAAGGTTCTGAGGTTCTGGGTAAAAATTCCAGGCTCATTTTCAGATTGTCGGACCCCGACAGGAATTAACTCAGCTGCAGATCTTAGTCCGACTGTCAGGAGTAACACTTGTCGCAATGAGTGTGACTATTGTGGTAATTGCATAATTTCGTAACTTCACACTAAGAGGAAAAAAAGCAAACGTCATAGTAACATTTAAGTACTTTTTTGGAGCTGGGAATTAGTGCAATTCGATCGAATTGTTGAAATCACATAGGGATTTTTTTGGCTTAATTTAAATAATATCGAAGCTTTTCATGTTACATGCCTCATGCCTATACAATGACTTGTAGAGGTTAAAGAACTAAGAAAGCCAGTGTTTCTCCAATCTCAGATTTTCTAAAACTTACTATTATTTTGTCAGTCTGGATGGGTTGGATATTATTTTCACTTGGAGCGAAGAAGCGAGTGGACGATCTTGGGCGTATTGTGCAGCAACTCTAGCAGCTGTGCTGTATGCAGTCCAATATTACTTAGTTGGATACTTGGACGACCCCTCTCTATTGGATGTGCGAAACCCAGCATGAACTCCATTTTTCGGACAGCATAATTTTTTTTTCGGAGTTTTGCTGGTTTAGCTATTGTGTTTCCCTGGAGTCCCGAGGTCATCTTCGCCAAATTCTACCCCAAGTAGTCGCCACCACAGGTACCCGCCGTTTTTGTGGATCAGAGAGAGATTTACCACCACTCGACTAGTTTTGTACCAGAACGGAGACGGATCATGGTAGTGGTTTACTATTATTTCGGCTTTCTGATGGAAACGTCGGACTCCTTCTCAGCTTGGAAGACCCTACCGGGCGATGAATCCTCCCTTGTAACAGCCCGACACCCACGAACATCTCCCAACCACGAAGAGACGGTAAAGCATTGAGAGGCAGTCCTATATTGTTGTAAATATTTTAGAGTTTCTGTGATTACTCACATTTCTTCTTTAGGTAACAGTTATGAGACTATGAAATGAATTGAGCAATGCCGAACCCCTGACAGCATGCGAACAGTGATCGTCTATGTATTTACTTAAAATCGTGTTCTTTCGCTTACGGATTTTTTTTCATCGTTGCTCTAGCTTTTGCATAGGCAAACGCGTTTAATGTTGTCGACAGAAGATTGCTGACAATGCACGAAATGTAGATAAAAGCTGAGAATGCCGTTCCGAATGTAGATTTTCGCCCACAGTTATAAGTTAGTGAATGATTGTCACTGAGAACGCACATTAGACCCAATAATAAGACGACAATGACGATAACTCCGCTAAGAAGTGGCAGTAAGATGCACCTAAAAGAAATTATGGATTACATCTTATTCAGTAGCTAACTGCTTTAAGTTTTCCATGGTTTACTTAATTGATCGATCGATTAATCTCTTAAGTACCCTCCAATTAACCTAAACACGAAAACAATTTGAATGGTATCGTCAAGTTCAGCCCATTTATGGAGTACTTATAGGTCTTGGAGCTAATGTCACTTACCTCATATATCGTCGATTGACACTGATTCGATAAAAAAATGGAAACATTATAGCAATGAATCTTTCCATGCCCATCCATAAAATTGTCATAGCAATCAATACGTCACCTAAAGTTGTGAACTGAACTTTTGTGCTGATGATTCTCTGAATTTTAAAGTTTATCCTAAGCGTGAATAAATGTAAAAATTTTTTCCATTATTTACAAAACTGTGATTTTCACTGTTTCTGACTATCTCCAGACAAATCTCTGAGGGATTCAGTGATTTAAAACTTGATGGAAAAGCTTAAAAATATTTTCAGTGGATGATAATTGGTCATGAGGGCGAAACTAAGCGCTCAAAGTTTCTTAAAAGTTTGAACAAAAAAATCTTCTCACTTTTACCCACCTATCAACTTTGACTGTAATCCAATGTCCAGCGCGCACTCAGCACTGGTCTTAAGTGGAATCTTGAGTGTGCTTGTAGCTGTGGAATATAATTGAATTTGCTCAAATCCTGTATAAACAGTGGATATCGAATAAATCAAGTCAGCAACAGACAGCTGAATAAGAAGCTAAAAAAACTGTTCATAGGTGACGGAATTTTTAAGCATAAAAATGGTTTGACCGGTGGACGAGTGAACCACACTGCCAAGGGTAAAGCACTGCGATTCCAAGCACAGTATACTCCTCATCTGATCAGTGATCGTGTTTTAAGTGGACATGCAAGACATTTTAAGAGGAGTTCGCTCACTTTGAATCGAAAAGAGTTGTTTTCAAGACGGTCAAAATTTTGACGTTGGAATCTTTCTACTTTCGCTTTTCTCGTGCATACATGTAGAGCAGGTAGACGAGTAGTAAGTGATGCCGTGAAGAAATTCTAGCCCGGCCATCCAAGGGCTTGAAGTAGAATCGGCTCGATAACATTCAAACGACATTCATAAAGAAAAGGGCAATCCTTAAGCACCATCAGAGCCTAGGCGCGAAGAGTTCTAAGACCTTCGTGTAAGATAAATGCCAGGAAACGATTCCGAATGTAGGAAGTGCTGTGATCACATCAACGATGTGTTGGCGAGTGGTGTATGCACGCCCTATAACGACTATCGGAATGTTTAAGGAGAACCTACTAATATTAAGCAGCATTCAACAACACTCATCAGAAAGTCCAAAAATTCTCTGGCCGAGACTAAGCTCAAATCTGATGGTGAGCATCGTGGATAATGGGTGCAAGTGATCGAATCGCGTTAATGAAAAGCTGGGCTCAGCACAGAGCATGATTTTAGGCCACGTAAAATAAGGGAAAAATAAATTAAATGCTTGATCATCCATGTTTTTTAAAAAAAATCATTGCACAATTGATTTAATCGTGCATAATTTTGCATAGAACTTTAGTCACATAGGTCCTACTGAAGGTGTTCTCAGTTGTTTTCCTTGCATCATTTTTCAACCAGCGTCGCAAGCATGTCGTTACTATTCCTCGTTTTAATAAACAAACTATTAGGACCGTCACTATGGCCCGTATTTTTTACGCATTTGATGAAAAGCCGCTACTGGCTGTCAAAACAACAATGGATCAGAAGGCAGCCCTGTTGCTCGAAGTGTAATCACCATTGAGAAGATGCCACCTGATGGTATTGCCTTCTAATGGGATCTACCATAAAGTATAACCCAAGTAGAACTGCAGCGTGTCCACGCCTTGTTTCAACAAAATAGAGCGTAAAATTTTCGGCAAGGATGAAGTCCTCAAATGTGATCAGAGCTTGCGACAAGTCTAAGAGGTGACCGAATGCATATGTTCTCCATAAAATGACTTGTACAAGTACATTAAGCCAGTGTTCTTATGTTTCCAAGCAAATTTGGTGCCAACTTTGGACTGCGAAATGTTCGGGTCGAACAAAACCACATTTTTAATATAGACCACCTCTAACTGCGTGATACGCACGCTTTTCAACAGAAGGGAGAATTGAAATCGAATCCTAGACGATCGTCTATTTGACCAGACACTCAATTTTGTTCGGAAGATGGTCCTCGTAAACGACAACTATCCAGTTCGGTCTGCTTCTCTTCGCTCCTTACGTTTTTGATGAACGAACTGGGTCTTTTTCTAATTTATGTGTAATCCAATGTAGTCCAATCGTTTTTCACGCTTCATTGAGCTTATTGATTATCATCTCTGCTTCGTTGACACTTCTCGAGATGACGACCACATCGTTGGCAAGCCAAGATTTAATAGAAATTTTTCTTCAATGCGCATGCTTTTGTCATCTCTAATGATTTCATTAACCATTATAGTGCGGCACTAAACTGAATTATAATAGCTATGTGGTATCATTTTGTAGAACCCCTTTTCTTGTGGCTATGGTTAGAGATTGATAGAAAAGCCGTAGTGCAGTTCCCATAGCAATCAAATAGAGTTTTTACGTAGGATGAGTCTACTCCATTGTTAAAGAAAGCTGATAGGATTGCGTTTGTTTCGACACAGTCGAACGCTCTTTCTCATCGTCAGAAGTAAAGACTAGGGCTAGGTAGTATTTCCGACAAGTTTCAATGAGCCCTGGACATGGTTTGCATGTGCTCCATGCAGAATCCCTGTGGAAATCGTGCTCGTTGCAACAGTTGCGCCTCATCCAGTCTCCTTAATATAGCAGCAAAATAATTTTATGAACAGCTTATAGACTGCATTCACCAGGCAAATAGGACGATAATTACGAAGATCCTTTTTGTCACCTTTCTTGGGCAGGACGAACGTGTGCGACGTTTCCCACTGGTCTAAGGTTTCTTCTTTTTGAAATTAGGATGTCACATGGTTTCCGAGAAGTAAATGTAAATTGTGGCTTCCAAACAGAAACCGGCGATGATATTATCGGATCCTGGAGCTGGGTCTTTTTTCATGCATTCCATCTCAACTCGAACCTCAGAGAGAAGAATTACAGGTGCGTTTTCTCCCGCACAGATTTTAGTGTTTAGGGCAGGAATCACCGAACGGTAAAGAACGGGGTGGAATTTCCCCGTCATTAATTTTACATTAGGGCGAAAATTTAAGTGATTCTACCTTTAATTTTTTCAAGATAAAAAAAGTAGGCAGTAAATAACAAGTTAAAATTGTGATTGTAACTGCGGCCTTAGCTTAACTGGGTTCTTTGCCGATTTGGGCCCCCCAGATCAATCCCGCTGACGGGTGATTGCTGATGGCAAAATATCGGTAGAACTAGCTGAGAGGCAAGCGAAACGAAAGACGCACGTGGTGTGGTGGTGAACGCGCTACTCCCCGGAAAGGACAATAGCGCGTTCGTTCCCCACCGCAAACGTCTGCGGTCCGGTGTTTTGCAAATATCTCAGCATCATTGATCCTATCTTTGTTAATGGGGCTAAAAGCGAAGCATTATACTCGCACAAATCCCGATGGCAATGTTTCAGTCTGGTTACAAAGATTTATTACACTTGGCTCTCATAACCACCTATATTAGATGCATTGCAGTAGGATCAGGCCTCAGTTACATTCTCTTCTCCGGGCAACCTTTTGTGGTAAATGGAGATGCGGTCTGAACTTCTTGGTGAAAGGAACTGTTTCGAATTCAACACAACTTTTAAACCCTTTGAAAAACAGCTCGTTGTTTCGGGACAGATATTCTTTTATCTGCCAATCAAGCTTGGATAGGATTTCATTCAGAATGTTCCCTTTATATATACCTTTCTTGTTCCAAAATATGAACTCTTTCCCAGCTTACGACTTAATAGATTCTTTGAGCGACAAAGGCTATGATCAGATCCAATATAGAATGATGGGAGTACCTATGTGTCAAGTAAGCACCATCTGAAATTTGTCTGAATAGGGTTGACCTCCGCATGAGTCTTGCCATCTAGGGACTCATATCTCCAGCGACGGCTTTCTTCTTCGGAAAGACGAGTATCTATGGAAGAGAAGTTCTGCAGGCAGCTTTTGCAAAATGGTTTCCATTCTTATTTGATTTTCTTAATCCGAATCCTCCGATTCCCTATGCACTCTAGTTGGCCTTTCCTATGTTGGCGTTGAATTCGCCGACAAGAAATTTGTAATACACTTTATCTTCACAAGTAACCTCATCAAACTGATAACAAAGCCCATATATTACGCGCTCAGTAGCTACATCACTTGATAAGTAGTAGTAGGTGGTAGTTGTCTTCTTATGAAGTTCAAGTTAAAGGCGGTGTAGCATGCGAGAAGAATGGGCCTAGTACCTGTCGATGAGATTTGTACCTCTTCTTCGCCGATGGCTAGGGTCCCGTTTATTAGTTGGCATATGTCAGTCTTTTTTGGCTTTTTTTCGTAGGACGATTGCATAGAGTTTGATGCTAAGTGCCGCTTTAAGAAATGCATTAAGGTAGGGGTCCATGGAGTGTTCTGGCAAGTATATGTGTGTAGTAAGAAACTTTCTGTATGACCTCTCGCGCTTGTATGTTTGCTAGATCTGGTTCGATTGGCGTACACCTCCCACGTATACCCTAGAAGCTTAATGACTATAGAAAACAACATAAAGGATGAATTAGCCAAAAAAAGGAGAGCGGCTTGGGCCGCATTTGTGCCTCTCAAAGAAGCCACCGACCAGCTAAGGGACCCCAAAATCCGCGCTAACCTTTCCGATTCCACAGTCCTCCCATTGCTCTGCTCTGCAGCAGAGACGTGGGCTGTTAATTTGACCATTTCAAAAGCACTGCGCAATACTCATTGAGTGCTTGAATGACTTCTTCCATGGGCACGCAATATTTAGCTTGAATGCGAAGGTCTAATTTTCGAAACCTATCCCAACTTCGAGAGCCAGCAAAACACTCATGATAGCGGATCGTTGGTGATCCGATCATATGATGTAAAGAACAAATAAAGAGTATTGTGAGGTAGGATCTCATTAGTGTGCAGGCGTCCGCTAGGACGGACAACAAGTTTCCAACCAAATAAGATGGGACTCGTATCTCCTTTCTGTGTAGGATTAGCTTATACCTTTCGGGTACATGTGTAACGTGCGAGTTCGGGCTTCGGTATATGCGCATTAACAGTTCACCATTTAACAGTAGCAGACACTACGGTCGTATAACAGCACGATCAAGTGACTGGCAAGAGCATAAAATGCTACCAAGAGTTGCTACGCACGAGGAAAGTCCACGCTTGTTACGAACATCTTAACGAAGAAACCGTGAATATAACCACCATACTGTGGCAAAGATCGGCTCAAGGTACATGAAGATAATACTTATCTAAACAAATTATTAAATCTAAGCAGCTTTTCACGAAAACACCGTATACATTGACAGCTGAACATACGGGGTGCTTTGCATGTGTACAACTAAGGAAAGTTGAAACCCTTTTTTTTGCTTATCGAAATCTCATGAACAACATCTGGAAAAGGTAGCAAATGTTTTGATCCCAGAGAAAAGGATGTTTTTTCCAAACTAGACTTGTGTTGATTCTTTGTAAAAGCTGAACCTCATCAAGAGGAAATCTCCGTTTTTCGTGAGCAAGTACTATTTGCAACCACACTTTGCACTTAAGAGTACACTCACTTGAGATTACGACATCAATGAACTACTAGAAAGCATTTTTTCACCTGCATTTAACACTTTTAGTCATTCTAATTAAAGAGAAAGGACTTACCACATATTTCATTCGAAGCTCACGATATCCAAGGAATACCGCCAGACCGATAAGGTTGGATATGACACACATGAGCGCGATTGCTGTGTTCACAGTACGGTAGCTGATACGATCTTTGAAATCGATAATATCTGAAGCGTTGACAGTCTCATACGCGGTATCCATCCTAAGCTAAAAACTGCAATTATTTTAAATGTAATGAAGGTATGTAAAAAGTTCAATGAGATAAACGACACTCGCGCCTATTTCTGAATATTCTTCAAGCTCTTAATGGAATCTCTCGACGAAAAGACAACACACAACTTTCATCTCGTCGAAATTAAGTAAACTATCATAAGATCAGAAGAATGCAAGCAAGAAGGACAAGGTACGACGCCATCAGCCTGGCCGAGACGAGAAGACGCCAGCTTTTCAACGCCGTCTATGACACCGGAGAAGAACTGTTACTCGGACCATGCGACAGTAGAGGAGTTGGCGGTGTCGGCGTTCTCGTCAGCACGAGTTTGTCCATAAACATCGATTAATTCGAACAGCTTACAACCCGAATCGGACGTTTACGATTAAAAAGACATGGATCAATTCCGGCGTTGACAATCTTCGTCGTTTACGTACCAGCATCAAATTATGAAAACGAAGAAGTCGAAGCGTTCTATATGGACTTAGAGAAATTCTTCAGAGAAGACCACACATTCTTCAAGGTCATCATTGGAGATTTCAGCGCCAAGATCGGACCAAGAAGAAGGTCTGAAGAACGTCACATTGGAACCCACGGATTAGAATGGAACGAACGGGGTGATCGGCTGTCTGAGTTTATCATGGCGACCAAGACAATCCATGGTAACTCGCAATTCCAGAAGCTCTACCCTAAGCACAGGACATGGTAGTCTCCCAGTAGAAAGTGCAATGACGAAGTAGACCACATCATAGTAAATAAATTTTGCCTAACCAATGTCGCTGTTGTTCCAAAATTCTATACACTGGATCAGACTATCGTTTCCTTCGTGCAAGATTCTATTTCTCGCGGAAAGAAGAAAAAGCCGCTAAATTCAAAAAGCGTAGTTCCAAAACTACGATAAAATGGAACCTGTTCAATTCACCAGTCGGCTTTTGTGTAGACGCCATTCTTGATAACACCGGTGAGGAACACGATCGGCTCGTTCAACGTCTTCACATTTGCGCTATGAAATCTCAGAGTTCGAAAGTCACCAAGAGACGTCTGTCTCCAGAAACACTCGAGCTGATAAGCCAACGTGGAATCGCACTAACTGCACGCAACCGCGAACAAATGTCCGAACTTGCAAAGTAACGCAGACAAGCGATGAAAGAAGATTTTAAAGAGAGAAGAACAGCAGTAATAGCCGAAGCTGCAAAGGCCGGAAAAAGCATTCGCAAACCTCACCAAAGCTTCGCCAATTACAAGAACAAAATGATTCCTCTCCAGCCCCCAGACGGAACAGTCACAGCGTCCAGAAAGGCAATGGAGAAAATCATTCACGAATACTACTCAGATCTCTTCTATAGTCACGTCCACCTTCCGCCATATGAAATAATGGAGGATGGATATGTTGTACCACCAGTTCTCCCTTGCGAAATGTGGCATGCCATTTCGGCGGTGAAAAAACGAGCAACACCAGATCCAGAGAGGTTAAGACCCAGAACACCTGAAGAACCTTCTGCCAGTCCTCGTGAACACACTGGCTTGGCTCTTTACACGTTACCTGTCTGAATGGAAGGTCCCACTCAGTGGAAGACCAGCAAGACCGTGTTATTGTTCAACAAGGGTGACCTGCACGATATCTGCAACTATCGCCCAATTTGCTTGCTGTCTGTCGTCTACGAACTTTTCACTCGAGTCATCCTAAGTAGGATTGACAGAACACACTGGACGAAGGACAGCCATGTGAACAAGAGGGTTTCGAAGAGGATTTAGTACAATGGACCACATCCACATGGTAACACGGCTCATTGAAATATCGCGAGGGGACAAAAGACCGATCTGTCCCACTTTCATCGATTTACAGAAGGCCTTTGATTCAATTGAGAAGCAGTCTTGGAAGCTCTTGATAGTCAAGGAGTCTCTACTCAGTACAAAAAGATTCTTCGTGAGCTGTACAAAAATTTCAGAACCGAGATTTCACCATTCTACAACGATATTAACATTGACGTCAAGAGAGGAGTTAGGCAATGCGATACCATCTTGCCAAAATTATTTACTGCCACCCTCCAAAACGTCATGCGAATATTGGAATAAGATAATATGAGAGTAAAAATCGATGGTCGGCAGTTACACCAGCTTTGCTTTGCTGATGACCATCCTTTGAACACCAAACATTAGCCAAGTAGAACGCATGCTTTACCGACTTTGATAGAGCCTGTGGAAAGATTCGCCTTCGGCTAAATCTCATAAAAACGATGTTTATGAAAAACGGATTGGTTTCGTATGCTCCACTCACGATCAACGGAACGAATATCTCCGAATGCTCCAGTTATGCCTGCTTAGGTCGAGAACTCAACATGATAAACGAGCTAGCTCCAGAGCTGAGCAGAAGAAAATGCGCGGCTAGGGGAGCTTTCAAAAGCGTTGAGGATATAGTGAAGAAAACATAGAGCACCCAACTTCGTGCCCACCTTTTCGACTCAACGGTACTTCCTGCCTTAACGCATGCGTCAGAAACCTGGTCGCTGCGTAAGCAGGATGAAAGGTCACTCAGCGTTATCGAACGCCCAGTCGAAAGGACTATGCTAGCACTCTCCTGTTCCACATAAGTAAGAGATGGGATCTGAGGCTCCGATCTGCGTCAACGATCAAAAATCAAGGATGCCGTTCTGTACGCCAAATAGTCGAAGATAAGGTGGGCCGGACACGTAATGCGTTTTAATGACAACCGATGGACAAAAGCCGTTAGTGACTAGATTTTTCGGGATGTAAAACGTACTGCAGGAAGACCACCGACCCGATGGTCAAAGTTTTTTACGAAAAGCCTAGAAGAAAGATATGATGCTCAACCAGTCCCTAGAACGAGCAGAACTCCCTGGGCTACTCTTGCACGCGACAGGGAAAAGTGGAAGATTTGCTGGCGCCCGCTAGAGTCACCCGACGGTCAACAGGACTGCAGGTGATACAGGTGATCATAAGATCTGTTGAAAACCTCAAATGAACCTTAAGTTTTGTTCTATTATTTTGTTTTATTTCGCTTATCTTCACGTCTACTGTGCGGATCCCAGCACTTCTCGCATCCAATTCGTTTCTTGCCGTCAATCATCCACGAAGATCTTCCAACTTTACGTGTGATTTCGGCCGCTGCTTGAGGATTTTCGTCTCATCTTGAATGTCACAGAATGCTGGTCGAGCGATCCTTCCTGGAGTCCTGAGGTAGCCGGGTTGGAGCGTTCTCAAATGGATTACAGAGAGCGATCTTTTTCTAAACAAGTCCTGTGGCAATTTCCCGACTCCGGAGGAATGAGAGGCTTGGCTGGTCCGGAGCGGAATCGAACTACCACCATGCTCGTAATGACTGAAATCACTACCACTGTGCCGTCCACCCCCGGTGGTCTAAGTACAGTGTCAAAAATGCTATTGAGAGGAAGGGTGCAAAAACTGAAGTGCTGTCATTGTCTGCTAGAGGAAACACTTTCGTAATGTTGTCGTCAGCTTCTAACTTATATATAATGCGGTTTATATTTTTGTGTCAAAACGATTCAATCACTTGGTTTATGTCTGTATGACAGTCTAATGACTGGGACGATACACGCTGAGATTTCCAAATTTTCTTATCACTTAAATACAAAAATTTTCCCAATAATTCTACTCACGTGAACGTCACGGTTAGCGCTATATTCATTTTCTGGAGTTTGATGGATCGAACTGAGTGCGTTGTAGACGGCTATTCTTCTGTAAGCTTGAAATCGCATGGGACTCACTAACGACTGTGGGTTTTCGATAAGACACAAGTGCCTGGCCTACTTGATTTTTGACGTCTAGGCGTAAATGACGGCACGACACTATCTTTTGTTTTTCGATTCCATTATACGGGATACTTTTAGAATCATCCTCTCAAAAGCACGTTTGATAGCAATGAGCTTTCAATTTGCTTATGTAGTGTCCCGATTGCCTAAGGACACATGAAGAAGAAAGAGTCGCGGAGTTGGAAAAATGACAGTAAGCCAGCCGTTTGTTTCCTGTTTCCTTTACCATCATCTCTATTTTCATGTAAGCTTCACAAGCTACACTTGCTAAACTTTGGAGTTGACTTATTCATTGTAGTTTTTCCGCGTTCAAATACACGCAGCTGTAATATTTAGACCACACGACCGACTTTCTATTGACCTCGCCATTGATCAAGTAATTCTTCGTATTCTTGATGAGCAAACGCGAGGTATTACATTATTCTTTATTCACGAACCAGCCGACGTTTCGGTGGACATCGCCTTCATGAGAGCCTGGAAAGGTCAAGTTGACCGCAATCCATTCAGCCAAATACCTAACTACATAACCAAACAGAGAAAACGCTAAACCAAGATTATAATCGCATTGAACAAAGAATAGTTTCTTTGCGCACTCACCGCTTTCTATAACTCTTCCACTGAGTATGTCGCATGAAGACCAACCGCACAGGGTTCGCATGGAAGCGTAATGTGCTCCTCCCATCAGAATAACAGGTTTATATACTGTCCAATATCAGGCGTGATAATGAGACATTCTTCCCTGCGGTTCATTTTCGGATTTCTTGAATTAATCCAGAACGCCTCGAGAGTTTTGCGCGCTTGTGTTCTTGATTCCTGCGCGAGGATCGTGACACGTACTTCAAAGTCCTCCCCGTTATGTCTCTGGGTCCTATGCGTGCCTAGCGGGGTATTTGGTTCATGTTTGCCGCCTATGTGTTCCTTTATGCGGACACAAAGGGGTCTGCCCGTTTCACCAATGTATTTGTCTCCGTACGCTTTACAGGAGGTTAGATAAACTATACCCGAGCTCATGCAATCACCGTCTTTACCAATGGAGCAAACTATGCAATTTTGCATTGCACCTAGACGGTCATATAGGCGGTTACGAACTAGCTGGCGCCTAAGATTACTCGGTGGTATTTCAACTACTTTTACCGAATTCTGTAGACCCGCCCTTCTTAAGCAGCTGCACTAACATCATTTGATCATCACCGGAAGGG